CCCCCACCCCGGTCTCAGAAGACACCACTTGTTCATGAGCTCTAGGCCTGGTTTTCACAGGAGTTCAGCAACTCCCCTTAAAAGGAAGGCATTTTTTAGGTAATGTTAGTCCTAACTTATCCTGACTTAACTCCATTTCACATATTTGAAAGGCTGCCATAAAGAAAACTGAGAAGCATTGGTCTTCTCTGTCACAAAGGGCAGGAGACATGGCAATGGGTTTAAACTGCAGCAAATGTGATTCAGGTCCAACCTCAGGAAAATGCTATTCACCTATTAAAAAAAGGACAATGGAACATGCTGTCTAGGGAACTTGAAGAATATCTTCATTGAAAATTTGCAAGAAGACACTAGAGGCACCTATCTGAGGCGGTTTGGGAATAGCTCAGCCTGACTGACTTCATCGTTCATATTCCCCTGTCAGACAACCCTTCCCTGAGCAAACCACAGTTCAAATGTTTTAAGGAATCAAAGTGAGAGGCAATTTCTTGGATCTTTCTACTTCATCCACTTTCACAAACACAGCTTTTTTTCTTCTCTTGATTCCTCTCCCCCTCTGTCCATTGGTTAGCAATTTTAACTTGCAGGGTAGGTTTAAAATTTTGATTAAAAAAATTAATTTAATTTTAAAAAATTGTTTTTATTTAAATGAGATTTTTTAATCATGTGTGTTGATGTTTTTTGTTTAGATGCTTTTAAAAAAAATAAACCTATATAAAAATGGTTTTAGTTTAAGATATGTTAAAGCTCAAAGATGATACCATGGAATATGGATTATAACTTGTATTTTGATACTATTTGAGACAATATATTAATGTAACCTTTTTAGAAAAGGTTTTATAAATAGGTCACAGGAGGCCATGGACTATATTAGGGGCCCAATCTTATGGGCTTCCCAGAGGCTCCTCTATAGGTTAGTAAAGATGAAAGAAAACAACTGAACCCAATGGGACTCAGTGCTCAGTCTAGAAGATCCCATCTAAGCATTTCAGTTCTCAAACTGTGGTTTTGTATCTCCCAGGATAACATCCTTGTTAAAAGAAGTACATGGAGATGAGACCTATCCATCAGTCCTACTGTCTCTCTGCAAATATTTTAAGTTTATCATACTAACCTGGCTGTAATAACCTATTTAATTTTTGTTAAAAACATATTTCACATTTATAACTAAAATAGTTAAAAATTCAAAAATACATACATTTGTTTTGTGAAAACAAATACGCATGTTTGTTGTTGAAGAAAAATATTCAAAATGTGTAAGCTTGTTGTTTTAGTTAAATAAAACAATGTAGATGTCTGTTGTTTTTGGTGATGGTTGTTTTTGTCCTCCTCATACAATGTGGCAAAAATATCCCCCAAATATCCATGAGTAATCTAGTGAATTGGAGATAATTCACCTCCCAATGACTTCATTAGTATCCACTTCAATTAGCTGTGATAAATAAAATAACTGAATTATGATTTGGTTTTCTGATGTAGCTGCAAAATTAAATCTGAAAAAGTATCAAAATAAATCACTGCTTTAAAATATATAGTGTGTACCTTCTAAAAATGAAACCTCCATCTATCTCTGAGCTGTAAATTCATAGATTCACAGATGTTAGGGTCGGAAGGGACCTCAATAGATCATCGAGTCCGACCCCCTGCATAGGCTGGAAAGAGAGCTGGGTTTAGATGACCCCAGCTAGATGCCTATCTAACCTCCTCTTGAAGAACCCCCGGGTAGG